ACCTAAAAAGAAATCAATATGGTTGTAACCTTGGAGTAGCTGTAATTCTGCAAGTCAACAAATATCTCACCGCATGAATCTCGGCATTTTACTGTATAAAATGCGACACGTCTTGGCAAATTGCGACACTTCGCATTGACCGATTTCTGCATAGGGAGCATTATCAAAAGTAAAATCATAGAAAAAAAACTAGTATTTTCATTGGAAAAATCCTCTAATTTATTTTCAACAAGCAAGAAGAATGTCCATACTTTCGTCAGAAGCGAGCAACAACTGATGACAACAGCATCAAACTTCTGAAAGAATTCAACATCAAAGTTGGCCAGATCACCTAAAGATATAACATATGAGACATAAGAAATGAAATCTTAAATGCTTCGACACAATCTGATTCTGACATTGGATAGATATAAGGTGCTTAACATGCACCTGACACTGCATATCATGAAAACCAAATAGAAAATATAGCTAAGAACTTGAGTCGGTAGTGAAATGTTAGGAACTTTCTTAATGCACCTTTTAACATGATTTGAGAGTATAAAAAGAGTTAACAGTCTGATAAGCGTAATATGCACAAATGCATAGCAGTTATATGTGTTAGGAAAAAAGAAAAATAAGTGGCAAATTAAGCTAGCTTAAGAAATCACTACCAGATCAAAGAACAACAAAAGCGGAAATGCACTGGTGTTTGATGAGTTAAGAGGAACAATGCAGGTTAAAGAGTTTGTAAATAACTTACAGTACAAACAGATCCCAACCTTTTTCAACAGAAACAGAAACCATAGGGTTGAAATCTTTCAGTGATTCACAACAAAGCTCAGCAAGTGATTTCCCACGGGTCACATTTTCATCAGGAGGAACTAAGAAATTAGCAGACAATAGCTCTTCTGTTACAAGTCGATCATCATTTAGCGTCAAACTACCGACTCCGGCTAAGACAATGTTCTTGCAGAACTGGGAAAGAAAAAAGAGAGAGAAGAAGTTAGTATAATCTGAAGTTCCTCATTTTTGAATTTAGCATCTGGAACTGAAAATATTATATTAAAACTTATCCTATCAAAGGGCCAAGAAGCATGATATACAGTTTATGCTTTGGACATAATCCAATTCCATCAATAACAAACGACTGAAAAGTTCTACTGATAAACAAGCATAGTAACTACTATGGCAATAAATATTTACTCCAAAAAGTGATTAACTGGTAGAATTGTACCTCAATAACAGTCCCTTTCAGTCCACTGACAAATATATGAGATTTGCTCAACCTGATACAAATAATAAGATAGTAGAATTTTTTATAAAAATGAAAGAACTAGATGGTCTACCAGATATCTATCTAAAATATTGTGTATGTCATTCCCTTGAAGATAGAATACTGCTTTTAACATTAAAAGTAAGTCATAGGATGAGCACACATTCCATTTTCCCTTCAAGTGAACCACAGGGACATGGGTGTCCCTCTTCCTTCATAACAAGTTATACTGGAATAAATTCTACACACGTTAAATGGGCATAAGTACAAGAATCAGATTCAGCTAATGAGTAGGAGTATGTTCAAATTTCAGTAGGCACTTGTAGTGTATTTTGGAGGATACAAGTACCATTGCAAAAGTCACGATCTTGACAGGTAGGCCAAGAACAAAGGAATCCATGCAACACAGAAATTTACACCTTTGCTCCTCACCTTAGTTTGAAGACATGTACACTAAACTATAGATGAGGCCAACCAGAAATCTGTCACTAAACAGAGAACTTATATGCAAGAGTGACAAATGTAGCAGTTAGCAAGTCTACTTGGTTTAACCAGTCAACCAATTAATGATTCCTCGATCACACACTAGTTGCAATAGGCTATGTCAAATTGTCAATCAACATACAAATCTTCAATTGGTATCATCTATATGGGTTCTTTACTTCCATTTTGCTACCAACTATAATAGAAGTATAGAACATAAAACCCTGTCTTCCTAAACATACAGAAAGCACTGTTTTAGGAAAAAAGAAGCATTCAGATTTGATGAAAATATTCAGCAGTATACAGAAAATCACCATCAGTTGGACTCGAACTAAAATGCACAGCTTATGTATTAAAAAGCCAACCAGAACTTTTGCAAACGAAGCATCAATATCTATTGAATCGCATCGATGGCACTACTGGGAGTTTCGCCTTTTGAAGCTTTAGTCACATAGAATGATTGAGCCATACCAAGTCAAAAAGACTTTGATGACTCAAGAAAGGAGTGTGATGGTACATAGAGATGACAAATAGGAAAGGCAAAGCAGGGTTGGACCTGTGATGCCTTGCTCTACAACAATTTTAACCAAAAACCTACAGTCAAGGTAAAACTCAATGAGTTTTACTGTTTTCGAAACCTTCATAGAGTGTTGACTACTCTCCTTAGTCCTTAGCTTTGTGGGACAACTAGAACAAGAGAAAATAGAGACACTATGTTCACATCTCCTAATCCTCAATTTCTCATGATCCATCTATTAATTGTTTAACTTACACTCCACCAAGAAATTAACGATATCACAAAACCGAGAAACACTTGCAGCATGCTAAAGTCTTTTTATAACACCCAATATCCTAACCTGAGAGCGGGTCACTCTTGCTAATTGTTTCCAATGCAGAGCCGGCGATGGCTTAATGAAGAAAAAGTAGAGATAGTAGAGGAATGGAGAACGAGGCTTTGCGTTGTGAAGTGCAGTGAAACTAAATTTCAACTTGACCCACCCATGACCCACCTCACTATAGAACAACACCATTCCTAGTGAAATCCCACAAGTGGGGTCTAGAGAGGGCAGAGTGTTCACAGATCTGGTAGAGAGGCTATTTCCGGAAGATCCTCGACTCGAGTATGGCAAATCAAAGTAGGAATGGAAGGGAAAAGAACGATACATTTTTCAAAAATCAATTTCTCTCCTACCCCACCTAGCACTGCTGGAGTATTCTCCTGTCTCACCCCATTAAGGCTTTACCTTGCCCTACCCCACCCCCACCATGTCCTGCTCCACTGCCATTCCTAAGTGGAAGAGGAACGACCCACAACCTAATCATCATAAACAATCTTCAAATTACCTCATTTTGTGTTAGTTATCTTCCATCCTCAGTCTCAATCAATTTTTCTTAAAAGTATCTCTACACAGCTACGAGGACCATGTTTCTCAACATATGTTCTAGGTAACTTTGAAGAGTAGACATTGACATTGTAAAGAATGTTCATACTACAGCATAACAAAAAAAATTGCTTGCCATAAGTGCATGAATATCCTGGTTCCACTATTGAACTAAGAACACTACGCTCATATACATGCATGTAAAGTAAACATATTTCCTCAACAACCATGTGTTTGTGATGCATTATCATACTGGTTGCCTGTGTAAAATGACAAATGAGTGAAGAAGAATACCTTCGCTGAGCATCAACACCCCAAACCCTAATTTGACGATCATATATGGCAGTTTCTTGCTCTGTCAATTCCTCACCTACTTTTCCCATTGCAACCTATAATTTCAGCAAAAAAACATACTAAGATAAGTAATAAAAACAGTACCGACAAACTTATAGCTCAATTCTCAGTTCAGCTTTGTCCATCTTCCTCGAAGCTCCTACTTTGAAACAGACTGAATTGAACTAAGCAAACAAACTAAATCTCGAGAAAATCGAGAGGTGAACAAAGCAAGTTTTTGGTGCATTAATCAAAGCAATTTATAAGCAAAACAAAGATGAGAAGTGAAAGAACAGGCAAAGGAGAGAGCTTACACTGTGAGAGAGACCGAGGAAAGAATTATTTTAGGGCGAAATCAGAAGAGAGCTAAGCATCAATTGTTTCCTTTTTCTTCTTTTTTGAATTGCAATTAGTTTGATCAAACTTATATAATTGCTTATGAAGTAGTATTTTTTTTTTTAAAAGAGAGTATTTTTTGGTGATCTAAGTTCTAACTAAGCAAAAAGAACGTATAAAGATATTACTATTTAACAATTTATTGTTTAAATATATAAATGTGATAAAGGATATTTTTAATTTGTGAAAAACTTTCATAATTTCAGTAAACAAATTCATAGGATAAGTGGATGAATCCCCACTTTGGATACACCCTTCATAATTTATTTTTATTTTTTTACTGTTGGACCTTGATAATCTCAGATATTTGCGTATGAAAGTGTTGTTCTCAGATATTTGTGTATGAAAGTGTAGTGTTGTGAAGACCTAGCATCAAGCATTTTCGCCTAATGTTTAGTATGATTTGTAGTTTGAAATATTTTTTTAACCTAAATGCACGTAAAAATTGATTAACTTTCAGATAGGTGCATCTGAATTAAAAAGTGATAATTTATTTTTCGATTTTCACCAATTCAACATAGGATTCAACATTCAAATATACTACATGCAATTCAAATGAGTGCTTAGCTTTGCGACCATTGAGGAGAATTGAGTCGATTTTCCAGAACCAAATTTGATTAGACGATAAAACTTCAATTTTTCTCATACCCTTCTTACTACTATTTCACATGTTAGTAAAATATATTTAGTAACAGACTAACAGCCATTGACTATGCACATTTCAATTATTTGAGCAGGTTGCCCTTCTTCTGCATTAATAATATAACAAGATATGATTTGGTGTAAACATTAGGTGCGAGTTAGTATTTTAACTACAAGTCCTTTGAAGTAATTACTTCAACTGTTTACTCGTTTCCAGATTGAATTTGACACCCATACGTATGGGGCTGAATGTAGAATATCTGCAAAATGAACCGTTCACTGGGAAAAAATGTGAACACTAAAGTGTGAGACATATTAGTGTTGATTGACTAGGAATGATGAAACTATACTTAAAAATAGTTGTAGACGCACAATTATTTATAAAAACAGTTGAGCACTAAATAATTTCATTTTATTTTTAACTTTGTTTTCTAATTTGATTGATTCCTTTTGATCTAGTTTTTTGCTCCATGATTCTCATATCCTTGGAGAAGGTGATTAAGCAAGAGCATATGGTGCCATTGTCTTAATTCTGATTTGCACCATTCTGCTGCATTTTTCTCCTAGCAATGTAACCTCGGAGCCAAGGAGTAACATCCTCGTTGATCTTAATCATGATGAAGAAGATTACGCGGTAGATGATTATCAAGGAGAAGATGGCACTTAGATCCACCCATTTTGATCTGTTCACGTCAATCTGGAATATATGTTTTAGCGCATATTCACCTGTGATCTTGGGAGGATGAGGACTCTGGTTATCAAATATCAACCCCTTCAAGTCATTTTTGTATTGTCCCTACAGAAACCACCAAATTAGAGTCAAAATAAGACTGGACGGATCTCAACAGATTTTCCATCAAAGGACTACTACACCTACATCCTCACCAAAGAACGAAATTGGTCTGAACATGCCAAGTTAATGCCTATAAAGCATGTACTTTCGTACTTATAACTTATACATTGTAAAATCGTTTATGCTATTAGTGCATTATACATTAACTGCTGAGGCTACTACTAATTCTACTTATTATGGACTGTTACGTGTAATTATCATTAGGCTCTGATGATCTAAACATTTCCATTTTGAGTTTATAACAGGTAAAATCAGAAGCAAATTTTTACCTGTACAGCCCAAAAATCGAAAGTCAAGTAAGACACCGGATAACGCCAGACAGGTTTTGGTATGTCATAGGGGAGTCTGAAGAACCCAGAGACCAGCATAGATATTCCCTGACACAGAAACATACACAATTTTTAAGTGTAGAAAATGGTATGCATCATAACTTTGGATTCTAAGATAATCAAAAAATTTCGTAGTCTAATAAAACGGAAACAGATTAAGTTTACTACCAGAATGCCAGCCCCTATGATGATACCCATGAGGAAATTAGGGACAACACTAGCTATGGCCATCATCAGGCTCTCAACCGCCGTAATGCTGGCATAAAGGGCCAATACAAAGAACAAATAGTGTGAGAATCCTGGATGGAAGTGGACCATGAAGTAGCAGACAGTACCAGAAAGAATTGCAATCAATATAAGGAACGGCATTGCAGATAACGTGTTGCTTATCACAAATACAATGACACCATAATGCCCATTCATCCTTTCCCTTTGAAAAACCTGTTTTGATTGACCAAATTATTAGATTTGTGTGGCAATGTATCATTTATATAGTTAAGGTAGCTTTTTCTAGAGTACTGTCATACAAAGTACGAACTTTCATATCCTCCACGAATGAAGGAAAACCTCCTATCGACATGAATGTCATAAATCCAAAGACAAAAGATGAACATGCAGCTCTTGCCTGCATAATGTCAATTTGATAAGTAGATAAAAAAAACGCGTCTTCTTGTAGGAGACATTAATTACAAAGGAATCAAGTTTAAAATCCCATTAGGAGAAATAAGTTACCTGGATGGAATTATACTTGGTTCCCACATTTAAATAGATGGTTCCAAGGCAGATGGAGACCACTAAGTAGATCACAATCCTCAGCCAGTAATAGCCAAAGTCTCTAGACATATTAACAAACGAACGTTTGGTTAAGGTGTAGGACTGCATAAAGAAACTAGCCTGGCTTCCGTTAGAATCTAGCACTGTTCCTTTCTGTTACAAAAAGAGAGAAGAAAAGAAAGATTACATTTGATGAGAGAAGAAATTAGACAGATGATGAACAAATCAAGATCAAGGTTTGGTACATTAAAACTTACAACTTTGGACAATTCTTCTACTGTTTCATTTGCTACGTAGCAATACTGAGAATGACGATAGAAGTCAACAAGACTTCGAATTACTTCTGCTGTTGTTATCTTGTTTAGAGGATCATCATTGTACTGATTAAACTTATTAAAATAAGAACAGAATAAGTTAAATGAAGGAAGGTGAAGATCTTTCTATCCCAAGCCATGCTAAATACAACGGCAATTTATAGAAATCCATGTTACTGTTGCTTAAAGAAAGTACTACAGAGAGCGGAGATTTAGATATATGGACTCGTGACTATTTTATTGCACTTATCAAAACAAAAAACACATTACACATGGTCTGTAATGTGTATGCTTCAAGTGTTCCCATCTGTGGACAGAATAGCATTACTTATTTAAAAAGCTATTCCCAAAACTAATGCAAACTTTTGGAGTTTGATTAGTAACAAGATGATCGTTAAAGACATACTTTGATCAACTCTCTTAGAGTGGCCTTAACTTTGTCAAAATCAGAGTTACTGCACCGGAGGAAATGATCTGATGGATTTCTGAAAGAAGGACAAGGAAATCCTGCTTCGGCAAAGAACTGCAAACCAAAAACTAGATTTAACTCTAACTACCACATGATGAAAAAGGTATAAAATCCGGAGACAAATGAAGGAGAATCTCGAGTAAGGGAGGTATATCTTGCCTGGTTTGCTGCAGAAGCTTGACCAAAGTAAACTGTTTTGCCTCCGGAAAGCAAGTATAATCTGTCAAACAGCTCAAATACTTCAGAGCTTGGCTGGTGAATTGAGGCTATCACAGTCCGTCCATCTCTGGAAAGACAATGCAGTGTCTGTGTTACGAAGAACGCTGAGGCACTGTCACAAAATCCAGAAAATTTATGGTATTGTTCATCAGTACTGTGCAGTTAACATTGTTAAATAAGTGATCTATTCTTAAGAACATTATCTACCTATCTAGTCCACTTGTTGGTTCATCAAGGAAGAGCAATCTAGGCCTCATTAGAATCGCAAGGGCAATACTAACCCTCCTCTTTTCTCCCCCACTTATACTGCGCAAGTGCCAATTTCCAATAAATGTATCAGCACAATCTTGTAAGCCCATTTGAGTAATGGTGCTCTCAACTAGTGTCCGTTTCTCCGATAATGGCATCCTATCAGGGAGACGCAATTGAGCTGAATAGTAAATAGTCTCCCGAACAGTTAGTGTTCCTATCAACGTATCATCTTGTGTTACATATGCCTGTATTGTAAATCAATTAAAATAACCTCACAAAATTCACCCAGAATAAAAAGGATATTGACAGCACAACACTTCTCACTTGTGTTGCAAATTATAGCCTTAGGACTACTTACTGCAGTTCCAAATGAGAGCTTAGCTTTGCGACCGTTGAGGAGAATTTTTCCAGAGAGGATAGCGTTAGAAGCAAGACGTCCAGAGAGAGCGTCGAGCAGCGTAGATTTACCAGCACCAGAAGGACCCATTAATGCAGTGAATGTTCCAGGTTCTGCATAACCAGTAAGTCCTTCTAATACATTTCTTGTATCTCCATTATTCAGAGTAACCATTACATTTACATCCTTCCAAGCAACATGAGAAGATACGACTATACCATTGGGGCTTTGTGGTTCGCTTGCTTCTTCAATCTCCACAATTGCAGAGGAGGACGAGAACGACGACGACGACAACGACAACGAGTTCCTCATCATCTATATACAATTATATTCTCCCTTTGGTTGTTTAATCAGTTGTCTTCTTCTTGAAATGCATCTTACTTGTATTACTTCTGATGTTTATAAAGTTTGTTTGAAAAAAAAGAACTAGTTAGCTGGTCAGCTCTATACTGGAGTAATAAAGCTAGCAGGTCCCGAAATAAGTGTTGCTTTAACAAAAAAAAAAATGTGCCAAAATTATTCACTTTAGAAATTCAGTATAAGAAATAGTGAAATTGTTTGCAACAATAGGGGTAACTTAATAAACTATACCTTCTATTCATTTTTTTCTCAATGGGCGTGAAATCATTTCACTGAAATGACCTAAATCCACACTTGTTTTGGAACAGATGAAGTAGTATATTGAAAATTAAAGCCTTTGAATATAAAATTTTTGAAGTGTTCGTTTGAGAGAATCTTATAGATCCTAAAGAAGGAAGCATGGAAATGCTGGGAATATTTATTTTTGGGAGAGTGAGCGTGATATACAATATCCCTGCCAAGTTGCCTCATTCTGCAATATTGTTAGTGATATTAGAGAAAAAATCAACTGAAATCAAGCAACAAATCATTGGTCAACTAGATTTTTTTCGATTACAACTAAGTAAATCACATTATATTTGTATTAGAATCAGAGATATGCATGCCTTAATATATCTTAATTTTAGGAATTGTATAAAATCTTTCACATTGACTGCAATTGTTTACATATATAATCCGTAGTAAAGGAAACTAAAATTTCTATTGTCAAAACTCGTATTATATGTATGAGGTCCAGCCCCTATCTTCACTTTTCTTTTGGCTGTGATTTGCACAGATTGCACTGGCACACATTCGTTGAAAATTGGCAACCGCTCAATTAATACAAGGGAGAAATATTGGCACATTTCATCATGTACACCAACATACAGAGGAAAGTATTAGAGAGCAGAGTAAGGTATATCATAGACTATATAAAAAAAGAAAATAGTTTGTGAAGAAAAAATAGAGTGTGAGTGATATTTTTATTGAGACAAGAAATCAAAAGAGAGGTTTTTTTTTTTTGAGTGTGTAGTGGTATTTGTAGTATTTTACTCAAAGCGTACGAAGTGTAAAAATTCTTTCTATAGTGAATATGTGAATGCAACTTTATATGTGACTTATTAGAAGAAGAATAAACAAATGATAGGCTTCTATTTTTACTTTGTTTTCTAAGTTGATTGATTCATTTTGATCTTGTTATTTGGTTCATGATTCTCCTATTCTTGGAGAAGGTGATTAAGCAAGAGCATATGGTGTCATTGTCTTAATTCTGATTTGCACCATTCTGCTGCATTTTTCTCCTAGCAATGTAGCCTCGGAGCCAAGGAGTAACATCCTCGTTGATCTTGATCATTATGAAGAAGATCACGCGGTAGATGATTATCATGGAGAAGATGACACTTAGATCCACCCATTTTGATCTGTCCACATGAATCTGAAATGTTTGTTTTAGCGCATATTCACCTGTGATCTTGGGAAGATCAGGACTCTGGTTATCAAATACCAACCCCTTCAAGTGGTTTTTGTATTGCCCCTACATAAACCACCAAATTAAACTCAATGGATTCATATATCAAAATAAGACTGGACGGATCTTAACAGATTTTCCATCAAAGAACTACTACATAGATATCTACATCTGTCATCAAAGCACATAATTGGTCTGAACATGCCAAGTTGGTGCTTAATAACGCATTTCTCTTTCGTATGCTTTATTTTTAAGGCTACTAGCTAAGTCTACTTATTATGGACTGTTACGTGTAATTATCTTTAGGCTCTGGGGATGTTAACATTTCCATTGCGAGTTTATAATAGGTAAAATCTGCAGCAAATTTTTACCTGTATAGCCCAAAAATCGAAAGTCAAGTAAGACACTGGGTAACGCCAGACAGGTTTTGGGATGTCATGGGGAAGTCTGAAGAACCCAGAAACCACCATAGATATTCCCTAACACAGCAAACATACACAATTGTTAAGGGTAGAAAATGGTATGCATGCATTAATACTTTCGATTCTAAGATAAGCAGAAAATTTTGTAGTCTATAAAACAGAAACAGATAAAGTTTACTACCAGAATGCCAGCCCCTATGACGATACCCATGAGGAAATTAGGGACAACACTTGCTATGACCATCATCAGGCTCTCAACCGCCGTAATGCTGGCATAAAGGGCCAATACAAAGAACAAATAGTGAGAGAATCCTGGATGGAAGCGGACCATTAAGTAGCAGACGGTACCAGAAAGAGTTGCAATCAATATAAGGAACGGCATTGCAGATAATGTGTTGCTTATGACAAATGCAATGACACCATAATGCCCATTCATCCTTTCTCTTTGAAAAACCTGTTTTGATTGCAAAAATAGGACCAAATTATTCGAAATGTGTGGCAATGTATCATTATAGAATTAAGATAGCTTTTTCAAGAGTGTCATACAAAGTACGAACTTTCATATCCTCCACGAATGAAGGGAAACCTCCTATCGACATGAATGTCATAAATCCAAAGATGAAAGCTGCACATGCACCTCTTGCCTGCATAATGTCAATTTGATAAATAAAGCAAAAAATGCGTCTTCTTAAAAATCCCATTAGGAGAAACAAATTACCTGGATGGAATTATACGTGGTTCCCACATTAAAATAGATGGTTCCAACACAGACGGAAACCACTAAGTAGATCACAAGCCTCAGCCAGTAATAGCCAAAGTCTCTTGTCATATTAACAAACGAACGTTTGGTTAAGATGTAGGACTGCATAAAGAAACTAGCTTGGCTACCGTGAGAATCTAGCACTACTCCTTTCTGTCACAAAAAAAAAAGGATCACATTTTATCAAAGAAGAAACCTCGACAGATGATGAAGAAATTAAGATCAAAGTTTGGTACATTAAAACTTACAACTTTGGACATTTCTTCTACTTGTTCATTTGCTAAGTAGCAATACTGAGAACGGCGATAGAAGTCAACAAGACTTCGAATTGCTTCTACTGTTGTCATCTTGTTTAGAGGATCATCATTGTACTGATCAGACTAATTAAAATAAGAACAGAATAAGCAAAATGAAGGAAGGTGAAGATCTCTATATCCTAAGCCATACTAAATGTTAATGTTGCTTAAAGAAAGGACTGTAGAAAGAGGAGACTTATATGGATCAGTGACTATTTTATTGCACTTATCAAAACAAAAACACATCGTCTGTAATGAGTAAGCTTCAAGTGTTCCCGACTGTGAACAGAGTAGCATTACTTATTTAAAAAGTTATTCCAAAATCTAGTGCAAGCTTTTGGAGTTTGATTAGTAACAAGATGATCTTAAAAGACATACTTTGATTGAGTCTGCTAGAGTTGTCTTAACTTTGTCGAAATCAGAGTTACTGCACCGGAGGAAATGATCTGATGGATTTCTGAAAGAAGGACAAGGAAATCCTGCTTCTGCAAAGAACTGCAAACCAAAAACTAGATTTAATTCTAACTACCACATAATGTAAAAGGTATAGGGTCCGGAGACGAAAATGATCCATTTTGACCATTGTATGTCTCAAACATGAGAAAATAGAATGATGGAGAGTCTTGAGTAAGGGAGGTATATCTTGCCTGGTTTGCTTCAGAAGCTTGACCAAAGTAAACTGTTTTTCCTCCAGAAAGCAAGTATAATCTGTCAAACAGCTCAAATACTTCACTGCTTGGCTGGTGAATTGAGGCTATCACAGTCCGTCCATCTCTGGACAGACAACGTAGTGTCTGTGTTACGAAGAATGCTGAAGCACTGTCACAAATCCAATAAGCTGATTTTATCTGATGTTGTTCCTTAATTAGGTAATTCAAAAACTTAACATTGTTAAACACAATTGAGTTATGACCTTAAGAACATTTACCTGTCTAGTCCACTTGTTGGTTCATCGAGAAAGAGTAATCTAGGTCTCATAAGAACCTCAAGAGCAATACTAACTCTCCTCTTTTCTCCTCCACTAATACCGCGCAAGTGCCAATTTCCAATAAACGTATCAGCACAATCTTGTAAGCCCATATCAACAATGGTGTTCTCAACCAGTGTACGTTTCTCCGATAATGGCATCCTATCAGGGAGACGTAATTGAGCCGAATAGTAAATCGTCTCCCGAACCGTTAGTGTTCCAATCAATGTATCATCTTGAGTTACATATGCCTGTAGTGTATATCAATTTGTCAGTTAATCAGGTGTCGTGCTGAAGCTAACAAATTAGGCCTTGAGAGATGATAGTGAGACTATAAAAGAGAAATATACCAAACATGGTTCAATCCATTGACCTACATCCACATGCGGCAATGAGCAATTCACTGTATAAAAGAGAGTACAAAAATCGAGAGAAATGACCTCATAAAACTTACCCAAACAAAAGAGAGTGTCAGGGTAACCAATTGTGTCTAACTTTCCATTTCTGGAATAGTTACGGAATCTTCATGGATAGGATCAAACCTTATTCCATTGTGTTTACATGAGGTTCCTCTTTAAGAAAGTCTACAATAATGCTTAGTTGATCCATGATTTATGTTTCATCTTTCCTTTGTTCGAGAAATATATCCATCAATTGTAATTCTTTCTTTTTTATTCTTGATTTTCCGATTGATATGTTTAAATCATGTTCATGGATTAACGAAAATCTTACATATTCTCCCCCTAAACTAGATTCTCAGAGCTCTTAGGACTATGTTGTGAATGCTAACAAGTGAAAAGGAAGGAGCCTCAATTTAAGAAGACCAAAACATTTTCAAAAAATCCAATTATGGTACGAAAATATAAGAGTAGAATTAACTAACTACTTACTGCAGTTCCAAATGATAGCTTAGCTTTGCGACCATTGAGGAGAATTTTTCCAGAGAGGATTGCATTAGAAGCAAGACGTCCAGAAAGTGCGTCGAGCAACGTAGATTTACCAGAACCAGAAGGACCCATTAATGAAGTAAATGTTCCAGGTTCTGCATAACCAGTAAGTCCTTCTAATACATTTCTTGTATCTCCATTATTCAGAGTAACCATTACATTAACATCCTTCCAAGCCACATGAGCAGATACGACCATACCATTGTGTCCTTGTGGTTCACTTGCTTCATCAATCTCCATAATAACATCGTCATTCGACGATGTAATTACAGAGGACAACGATGAAGAGGAGTTCCTCATCGTCTATATATATACAATTAAATTCTTCCTTTGGTTGTTTAATCAAATGTCTTCTTCTGCTTGAATTCATCTTATACATGTAATACATGTGGTGTGTATGAAGTATATTTGAAGAAAAGATTGCAGGTCAACTCTATACTGGAGTAATAAAGAAACAAATGAGGGGAGATAGTAAATTACTTCCGCCATTTCAATTTATTTGCTTTACTTTCATTTTTGTCGGACTTTGTATGTTTAGTTTAAAAAGATCAAAATTCAAAAGTATTTTTTACTTTGTTAAATTTCATGCAAAATCAAATCAGACAAATAAATTGAAACGGAGGAAGTACCAAATAGTACATTGAAAATTGAAGTGTTCTCGAGAGAATCTAATGAATCCTAATGAAGAAAGGAAGCGTGGAAAAGCTGGGAACTTTTTTATTATTTATTTAGGAGTGAACGTGATATACATAACCCTGCCCGATACCTTTTACTTAGTCATGTAAAAATTGGCTAGAATTTCAACTATGTGTGTCTGGATCTTTTTGGCAAAAAAAAAAAAAAAGTATTCTTCAGATTTCAACAATCCAACACACCATTCAATATATCTAAGTCAACTCCAAATAATCTCAATTCTCAAATTTGAAATTTAAGTTACATAAATCATAAAGAAAAATCTCAATCATCAATTTATCAAAACAATTATAAACCTAACAATTTCATTTAATACCTTTTAATTTTTTTCCATATATGACTAATGCAAGTGAAAATTGCTTAGAATTTTAATCATGTATATCTGAAAATAAAACAAGTGTTTTTTTTTTCAAAATAGACCCCTTTATCTAAAACTAGGTAAATTGCCCATGCTTCGCGCGTTAATGAACTACGTCAATAATCTACTTCTGAACATTTGATAATATAAGTGTTTTCGAGTGGGTACAACCCTACGATGAATTGTCAAGAATATTTTATCCAAAGATGAAATAAAATATTTTTTTAATCTTAAAACCAAAAAGATTTGATTCTTATGCATTTTGTTATTAATTCTTCATTTTACCGTAGTTATTCATCACTTAAGTCTTTAGAAAAGATATGTAATTGTTTCATTGTCTATATTTGTATTTTAAAAAAGTGGTATATTCATCAATTGCGAGAGTTTTTCTCCTATTCAAAGCCTCTACATACAGAATCTTAATATTATACATCTTATATAACTAGTTGTGCACTTGATAAGTTAATTAATATTTAAAAACACATCTCTTAGCTTGTTGTTCAATGAAATAATGTCGCTCAAATAATTTGGACTAAATGATGTCTTGGCAAGTCCCTTATTCAAAATCATTCGCAGTCGATGACACTACTTTGATAGCCAAAAAGCATATTTTGTTGTTTATGTTTCAATAAATATGGTTAAAACTTTATTTATTTTTGCGACTTTTAATCTAATGTTTATAAGGAGATAATTATTTCTTTAATATTTGATTGATATGGATTATCCTACTTTGAGGGGTAATTCATCGACTCCAATCCAACATTTGAACCCCAAACTGTTGATTCAGGTTGAGTACAATACTTACCATCCCACTACATTCCTTTTATTTTTAGATGTCACCAATCGATTGAATGCCTCAATAAGATAGAGAGTTGAATAACTAAAACGCCAAGGTAGTGTGGAACCACCATAACTTCTGAACACTCAAATGTCCCTTCTTAGACATCCCATGGATCTTTTAGCCACTGAAAACTCTATAGAGATCAAAGCCATTTATTTTACAAGTTTAAGAATTTTAATCTACATGACACCAATAGTTTAATGATTACATCAAACTCTTGATTAACATATCTTTAATTCAACATAATGATCAAAAGCATAAACATAAACAACAAAGTTTAAAACATGTACTAAAAACAACAATTAATAATATAAGCATAAATTAATGGCTGTAAAAAACATACCAGGATCTGTAACAATAGAATGAAACAAAAAGGAAAAAATTGAGTCCACTGAATGCACATTGTCCCCTTAAAGAAATCATTCCCCTCTAGTACCCGAGGTTTAAAGGAATAGATCCTCTCAAGATAGAACGATTATATTCACCAGTGTATTGATACAAAAACAATAGTGTCAGTGAGCCACGCAACAGGAGCAAAGTACACAAATACTTAATTGTGCAGAAGAAGAAGAAGTTCAGAATTTTCGTGGTTTTAAAATGAGAGGAAATTCCTCTATTTATAGACAACAAAGGGTAGTGTGAATAAATGTTTATTGTGCCTTATCAAAAAGGTCACAACTCTTTGGAAAAGTCGCAACCTTTCATAAAAGTCATAACTTTTCATAAAAGTCGCAACTCTTCATAAAAGTTGTAATTCTTCATAAAAGTCGCAACTCTTCGTAAAAGTCGCTTTCATAAAAGTCACAACTTTTCATGAAAGGGAAGACTAATTTTGGAAATAAATAAATTAAAAGGCAATCCTGGTTGTGGTGGCGCCACGTAGGTGGGCCTATGGTTCCTTTTATATATGATACTAGTAGAATTACCCGCGCCTTGCGCGGAAATTTAATATCACGGAATTTATAAAATAATACTTAAAACCTATCAGTCATTAAAACCAAAACACTATGTTATCTTACATACAAGATTACGTGATAACGAACATTATTAATGTAAAGAAAAATGAAAATTATAACATTTTATCATTTATCCTTAATAACATTATCATAAAGTAATGACTATAAAAATACAGGATCAGTAACATAAACAATGGTGTCAGTGAAACACTCAACAGGAGCAAAGTACACGAATATTAATTGTGCAGAAGAAGAAGAAGAAGTTCAGAATTTTCGTTATTTTAAAATGAGAGGAAATCTCTCTATTTAAAGACAACAAAGGGTAGTGTGAATAAATGTTTATTGTGTCTTATTGGAAATGTCACAACTATTTGGAAAAGTTGCAATCCTTCGGGAAGGTCACAACCTTTCATAAAAGTCACAACTCTTCATTAAAGTCGCAAATTTTCATTAAAGTCGCAATTTTTCATAAAAATCACAACTTTTCATGAAAGGGAAGATTAATTTTGTAAATAAATAAATTAAAATGAAATTTTGATTTGTGATGGCGCCACGTAAGCGGGCCTAAGATTCTCTTATATATATATATAATATGATTAATTGAGTAATAAATATTTATTATGCAAAATAAAACACAACGCCAATACCAATTAATTGGTGCTGCCAAAATAGGGCACCCCATGTCATTTTCAGGTGCACGTTACCCGTTTATTTTCCTGATTTGGGCCAGGACAGGTAAGAATGATGGAATAATGCTAGGAGTGAGGAGTCCAATAGAACCAGCATGCATGGACCACACCAATATTCAAAAAGTACAATTTTAAAGAAAATATTACTTATCCATTTTAATTTATGTGTCAGACTTGACACAAAATTAAAAATAATTACAAATAATCTTTTAAATATTTATGATGTAAAATTATTATTTATTTGTTTTTGGAACCTTAGATAAGCCGTAGTAGTTACAATAGTATAAATCCCACTATTTTTTAGGCCCACTAAAAGAAAAACTGTGCCACGAAAATTGGCAGATACGTGTTCCATACTTCCAACTTGATTTCTTAAAGAAATTCAAAAAATCTACTAACGCGTTGGTCAGAATTTGGTCATCAACTTCACTTGAACCATGCTTATATTAGTACTTTATTCCCCAGAATTTCGTTTAACTAGTTAAACGGTTTCCTTAACAAGTGTGACCTATTTTCTCCTCTATTTCTCTCGAATCCCTTCTTCATCGTGTTGAAATTGGTCAAAAGAGTGAAAGGATCCGAAGATTTATGTAGCCAAAATGATGGATTTGTGATAAGCGAAGCTTGTAACTGGTAATTTTTGAGCTTGTTGGGCAAATTTTAGGAGAAAGAGAAGGATGTTGCTACTATTTATAGTGTTTATTCTGGGAGCTGTAACGGTTATTGCAGTGGAAGCTGTGGGCGTGGTGTTTTTGATACGCTGGTTGAACCGTAGAGTTGCTCGTGAAGTGGATAGAGCGAAACCGGACGGGTCGCTATCGTCTACTGGGGATTTCGATTTCTCGTTGTACCTGAAGCAGGTATGTCAGTTTACTTGCTTAATGTTTATGCTGTTCAATTTGACTGATTGATTTATAGGACAGCTAAATTAACTCGATTAAGTTATTCCTTTTGTAAAATTATGATTTGGAATCTACATTAGAAGTAAATTAACATTTTTCCCATATCTAAGTAGTGAATAAGGGCATTTTGAAGTGTTGGTATGCAGTTTAGGTTGAAATTTCGGGAGATGAAAAGTGCTAGACATTTTGGAATAAAGAGAGTATATGTGATTCTTTGAGACCGTGTGTGTGTGTGCGCGTGGATATTGACCTATTGTAGTCTATTTGGGGACATTGATAGAATGTAATTTGAACACTTGAATGTAGAGATTAGATTAGATGTGTTTTGAGTCTGGTCTATGTAGAGTATTTTTTTTAATGTATTAGATGAGACTTAAGGCTATTGATTTGCATCCGTAACCTTCAGTGTAAACTTGTTACATTGAATAAAAAGTGTGTTCAGTTCAATAATTTCTAAATTGTATTAGAGCAGGTAGAAGTTTTGGTTTCAAGTTTCACCACTGCCCATTATTAAGGAAGGCAGTTCCACATGCTTGGCCTAACAAGAGAATAGTGTGTTAAGACATTGTTAAAAAATAGAAGTGTCAGACTTTTTTATAACCGTGGTATCTGGGCTAACTTCTTTTTCAGACTTTTTAGGATATTATTACCTTAAAAGATATTTTGTTTTTAAAAATAATATAATGTTATAATAATATCTCATTAACACTGTTTCTTTTTCATAATTTTGTTAAGAGATAAGTGTTCTCAGAGATAACTGATAATTGCTCACAAGCACACATTGTGCATCAAATTTGTTTTTCAATTCAAGTTCCTTTCACATTTTCATACTTGATCAGTTTCAACTTACTGTCTTGTTGCTTATGTTCTGCGTCTGCTTCCCAGGGGATAGTCTGGGTTCTAGAATCTGAAAGAATACCAAAGGCTCTTCCTGTGGACAAAGCCGTGACGCAGCAAAAAAGCAAGAAGGAGATCTTAGAGGTTACACCTACTCAGAAATTTGCCCAAATCAAGGATCATCATCTCGTACTAACAGAGTCAGATGGTTCCCATGTAGAAATTCCACTGAAAGGTTGCATAATAGCAGCTGTTTCAGCCTCAAGCTTGTCCACTAGAAAATGGTAAGTTTGGAAGTACTATTATATTTTGAAGTGATTTTTGTTGAACCGCCAAACTGTATTTTTTTCTGGTCATGTAAGTTGGTTTGAGTCGTTGGTTTCAAATATAAAATCATTGGCAAGATATGGCACTCGTAGTCCTCTTCTAACAATTTTATGAATATAGTTTTGGAGGCATCAGATCTGGAAAGAGCTATCTAGTCTCTAGCTGCAATTGAGTTATAGGCTATGTCCTTTGTCATGTGGTGCTGGTGGTATAAAAGCTAGGGCAGACATAAATATGAGTACAGAGCATTCTTCTTAGTCAAGTCTGAATTGATCTGGTGGTTGAATGCTAGCTGAAGCACACATATGTGCCTACATGTATTTGTGTAGTTTCATAGAGTGGAAATAGGTTGATCATTTGCTGTTATTTTAGCTAAAGTATTTTTTTGGATTTTCCATATTTGAAGTTCAACTTCAACCCCTGGTTGAGATTTAGGGCATCTGCGGATTTTATAGTAAAATAAGCAAGCTAAAATTCTTTAAAAGAAGTATGCGGAAGTAGTTGAATTGTGTGCTATGTTCTAAATCTGTGTGCTGGATTGCTGGCAGCAGGAAAGCTAGAATAGATATAAAGATGAGCCAAAATATTCTTCTTAGTCTGAGCGTGAAATAATCTGGTTGTTGGAAGCTGGTTTCCACAAATTTGCCTACATGTATCTCTGTAGTATCATTGGGTGAAAGTAGGTCACTTGCTGCTCGGTTTTAAAAGTATAAAATTTTCATGATAGTACTTGTCATTACTTTGATGATCAGATTCTGGTTGTGTGATTTTGGGACAACTGCAGAATTTTTTAAATAAGAAAGCTAAAATTAATTTTAGAAGAAGTAGACAAAAGATAAAACCCCAAATACCCGTTTTCTCTACTATCAAGAAGTTGATGGATAAATTATTGCCGCTAAGGCAAATGTAAAACAGATCTCTCTTGGTGCCCATAATAGATTCTACTTTTCCTAGAAAATCTTAGATTTCATTGAATTAGGTTGAAGATGGAAGTCTGACTTGCATTATGCACCAAAATCAATGCTCTAATGGTTGATTCCTCTCACTCTCTCTTTTTTTGGTTGATGCACTTAATCTCCACCAACATTTGCTGTAACAAACACGAGCTAGAGGAAAAGAAAAAGTAGTAGCATAATTAGGTTTAAGGTTCCTATTTGAGGGTAATGTTTTGTTTTTATACTTTTTTTGTTTATGGGTAAGTAACTAAGTATCACTTGACACGTCATACATCATACTTTGCACGGCAAATTGAGATTACATGATACATTCATTGGCTGGCTGATTTAGTGAGGTACAATATCTAATGCTGTGCAATGTGGTATAATCTACCATGGTATTTGAGAAGATGACTAATGGAATTGAGATTTTCGGGAACGAAGACTTGAGGTTGAATTCTGTTCCTTGTGGTAGAAAATGATGAGTTAGCGTTTCAACATTTACTTTTTTGAAGAATTAACCTAAATAGCCGTCCATCCAACCGCTTTAACTATAAATAACCGGCAGTTGTACAATATATGTATTTGTCATTTATTATGTGTAAAATCAGTGTGTTATCTATTTCTACCGGCTAGGAAAAGTAAACAGTAAATCCGCGCGGCTACTTCTTTCCACCCACATTTTGAACTTCATTCAACTGAAACTGGCATCATCCTTGACTTCTTAAAAGTCTGACTTTATTGTTATTTCTCTTAATCAAATACCGGTGACTCATGTGACTGACCATAGGCTGCTTTCATTTGTTTAATGCATGGGCTTCTGTGTATGATTTGGTAATGTTCCCGGAGAAATATATGCAGAAAGAGTAAAGTCTAATAGATTTCCCTCATATGTTGGGCTGCAAGAAAGTAGTCTTCTTACTTCTAGTTGAGTTTTACCTACTCTCTTAATCAAACTTGGACAATCATTTTTTTCTGGACAATGTTGAATTTCGTTTTTCATAGGTGGTTGACCATGAGAGCAGATTAACTTTTAACTTTACTTGCTAGGCATTGTCATATTCACCATAGATTGGTGGGTGTCAATTAGATCGTTAGCTCGTTTGTGGTGCTTGTTCATTATATAAAGAAGCACTTTGTTGCTCACTTTGGAGCTAAAGGTAACATAATGGAACAATGCTATGCAATTTTCTGTACTACTTTCTTTTTTGTCTTCCATTGCTTTTTGTCTAGGATTTAGATGTGACTTGCAATACCTGTGCAAGTCTCACTCTTTTTCTTTTGGCATAAAAAGTGAGTGAACCTCCTGACATATCCTGATTAGACTTTGTGCTATTATTACAATCTTTATCGTTCATGGTTGATACTGGAACTTGTGGGATCAAGAGCAAACCTCATTCTAATATTATAGCTTGATTTTGTTCCCTTCGTCTTTAGGACAAACTAGTTAAATTTTTTGTATAATATATGATATAGTATGATAAAAACTTTCATAATTACTAAATTGGACAATTCTGGAAAGAAGGAAAGATTTATATTAGTTTTGGTCAAAAAAAGTGTATATAAATGGAATGACGCCCAGGTGTATGAAATTTTTTTGTGATTCCTCTTCTCTCTTCAACAAAGGCCTAGCAAACCTCTTTCCAGGAGGTACAATACAAAGAGTGAAGCTTGAGTAGGTTACTTTGAGTGACCTTCATGGCGGGTGTTCCGGTCTTAATGAGTTTGGAAAGAAGGTCAAGGGTGATCAGTAGACAAAGACAAAGGAAGAGGAGAATGGAGATGACCTCTCTGCTGACCTGTGAACAGGCTTGCTTATACTGGCACCCAATGTGAAAAAATAGTTAATAATAGGTGATAGCATCATATGACAGTTAATCAGTTTGGCTTTAATTGAAAATGGAGTTAAGACTTCCTGAGAGAAAAAGAGAAGTGTGAAAATAAGTTAATAACAGGTTAAAAACAAGCTACAGAAACATCTTTACAAAGGAAAACAATTTTCTACTAGTGTTACTGCACTTTAAGGGGTCGTTTGGTTTGAATACTAGTTATGATTCGATTAATTATGATGGGATAAGTTATGCTAGGATTAGTTATGCTTAGATTATTTTTTATTGAGTGTTTGGTTTGTTGTATTCAAAATAAATGCATTACATAAATTCTAAGAACAAGTTGTTTGTTTACAAAAATACCCTTCACTTTATTTAGCTTTTTATTATTTCTTTGCAAGCTTTAGTTAGTCATTCTTAAAAATAAAATTTCATCTTATTTAGCTTAAATATTTTTGTGTATGCATTCCCACGATGGTACAGTATGTATTTAAAAATAAAAATTCTTCTTGTTTAGCTTAAAAATATAATTTTCATCTTTAGTTTGTTAAAAGTAAAAGAGGATTTATGAGAAATCAAAATGTAAATAAATTCATAAATAAAAAATATATTTATATAGTGTAATTTTTTAATAGAAAAATATGAAGAATTATCGTAAAAATAAGGAGTAGTAAAGGTTGTGAATGTTATTATATATAGAATATATTAAAAATAGTGTAAATATACATGAATGTGAAAAGTGATGTATAAAAAGGGTTTAAAGGGATATCTTTGCCATTTTACCTTTATCCCGGAATAAATTATCCCGAGATTACTATACAGCTATACCCCACCCAAAGGGAGGGATAAGTTGTCCCGATACTAATTATTAATCCCGGGCAAGCTATCCTGGACTTGCCAACCAATCAACAAATTAGGTGACATGATAATTTAATCACAAGACTATTTGGCGTTATCCTTCACACCAAACGACCCCTAAGTACTGTAAGAAGCCAGTAGAAAGCAATATATAAAGAATAAAATATCAGGTGAAATTTATCTAAAAATATAAGAAATAAGTTATTCCCTTACAAATATAAGTGGAACTTAACAATATATTATATAATTGAAATGGTCCATATTCTTTCAAGGGATCTGTGAAAGTTCGGAGTACAAAAATTCAGAATGCAAGAGGTAAACAATTCAGAAAAAAATTGACTTCTTTAAAGAAGGTAATATTATTTACCTTTTATGTAGAGAAGTTAATCTCCTTTTATTTAGCACACGGTGAAGTAAGTGGCTTGTCTAATTGTTTGGCAGAGAAGTAATAACAATAACTTACAACTTCACTTGGTGTTATCTGCTGCAATCTTACAGGGCAAAAAGATATCCTATCAAAATAGAGTGCAGAGCATCAACTTCATATGAAGGAAGTAGAATACTGTACATTTATCTTGAGACATGTTGGGAGAAAGAAGCATGGTGCAAATCCCTTCGTCTTGCTTCCTGCGAGGACCAAGTAAAACTTATGTGGTTTGCCAAGTTGAATATAGAGTTTCAAAATTACCTGACGTCATTAAATGCAGGTTATCCTTCATTTATGAAACCGTATTCAAGTGTTACTGCTGATTTAGGTGATAAATCAAGTAAGTTTGATGGTTCCTCATCAAAAGTTCGGCAATTCCTGAAAAAGCTTGGCAAGAAAGCTTCTAAGAGAATTCCAGAAAATAAAGGAAGCGGCATTTCAACGTCAGATCATGAAGAAAGGAAGATAAGTGAGAGAGCTCAATCCGTACAAGACCTTGCTTTTGCTGGTGGAGGTGTCAAGTTGGCTCCAACACGAAAACCTCTTGATTTTTCTACTAAGGACGTTGTAGTGCCTTCATCTACATCAACATCTACTGGATCAGGAAGCCGGAGTCAAATGTCTGTTACTTCTGATGCAGATTCTGATGAGAGAATTTTTGGTGATGAAGGAACTCTTTGTTGGAACTTGTTGATATCCCGTTTGTTTTTTGATGCTAAAGGAAACGACCAGATGAAAACCTCTTTGCAAGCTAGGATTCAGGTTTGCAATCTCCTTTCTCTTTCCATTAGTATATGTTTCTTGATTTAAGCTTTTTGGTTACTGACATTATAATTTGCTCTAACTATTGCTTTTGAAGCAAATGGAACATCTTTTGCACTTAGTAGCGTAAGTGGAAAATTAGCAATTGAGTTTTGTCAACTGCAAGTGTTTGAGTAAGAAAGAATTTGGTTCCATTATATTTATAACCTTTCAGTTTTAGAAATTGGGTCTGGAATGGTTGATTTTCTCCTCTTCCCCAATATAGTCCCACAAGTGAGGTCTGGGAGGGTAGAGTTACACTCTACCGTACCCCCTACCTTGGCAAGTAGAGAGGTTGTTTTCAATAGACCCTCGACTCAAGGAAAGCAAAAAGACAACATTTATGGAGACATAAGCAGTAACAACAGCAGGATAGTAAGAAAGTAGAGGCATACGAGACAACAAGTAGTAATAGAAAACTAAGAATGAGAAATATAGAAATAGCAAAATAAGAAAAATACCGAAAATAATATGAATACTACTAGCAGGAGTTCCTTTGCAAGTTATAATAGCAGGATATTTGTTTAATGCTTTATTTGAAGCTTCATAGGTATGTATGTTTCATTGTGATATTTTATGCGTCTTCCATTATTATATTAAACTAAAGAGAAATTTTCTTTGTCGAACTGACTTATGATTCTGTGTGTTCTTACTTGTAGAGAACGCTGTCAAATATACGAATTCCTAGCTACATAGGCGAAGTGACATGTACTTCTGTTAATATTGGTAACCTTCCTCCCTATATACGTGCAATGAGAGTTCTTCCCTCAGACATGAAAGAGTTTTGGGCCTTCGAAATTGATCTTCAGTATTCTGGTGATGCAATCTTGGAGGTCGAGACGAGGGTAGCAGTTCAGGACCTTGATTTACCTGAAGGTGATGAACCAGAAACAGAATCCAGTGCTATTCATGATGTGAAATATGATTTACTAGAAGGGGTTGAGCAGTTTGGAAAACAAAAGCATTCTGAAGTGAACGGTGATAAGATGGACCAAACCAAGGAAGGTAATATTTCTTATGATGCTCTCAAAATTTTGGATTTTGCAATCAAAATATGTTAATTTGGTTGGGCATGCTGTTTATTTGTGCAGTTATCTAAAGGGAGTAGTCAACTATTTCTGAAAGAAAAACTATTTAGATGGTTTTCAAGGTGTATTAACCATGTGAATTTTCAGATGGGATGAGAAGCTCCAATAGCACACCAAATGTGTTGCCTCAAGTTTCTAAGTGGAAGTCTATCTTTAATTCTGTTGCCAAGCAGGTCTCACAGGTTGGTTACAACTATTTTATTTAATATAATGGGCTGTTCGGTCTGTACAGATAGGGTGGAGGTGCTTATTTAATCCTTGTTTATGTACAGGGTAGAGCAGTTTAGTATCTCACAAGGCTCATAATCTTGATGTCAAGGGTTCAATTTCTGTCAACATCTAGTTTAGTATCTCGCCACAAGGGTTTTCTCTTCCAAATTAATTTTTCTAAAAAGAAAGAATGCAACAAACTGGTTATAGTTATGACAACCCAAGAGCCAAAAGTACAAAATCCCTTAATAGTCCTCCAAAGGAAATGAGCTAAAGAAGAGTTCTTGTCACAAGATCCCTTGGATTCAAAGAGCTTAATTGACCTTGGTTTTCCTTGTTTAATTCCCTCATAGTCCTCAAGGCTTAAAGTCATGATACATGATCCTTTGAGCTAAATCTTGGAGATCTTGTAATTTCTTAGCTTGATTCCTTGTAAATGGTCTACTTGAGGGATTCACTTCTCTTGGGTTAGTCAAAATCTACAGGTTAGCCTATGTTTATGCAACTTACATCCTAGAATACTTATGTAAAATACAGAAAAACTTCAGCAGTTCTTCTGACGTTGACTTGAAATGACCTCTTTATTAGTAAATGAAGGAACTATAGTTGATGTCATTAAGTTGACCTTAGTATCCGTTAGTTTACAACAATAGATAACGACAGTAAGACAAGGATACCCTGAGGAGAACAATGGATTCTGAATTATGGTTGAGCAATGGATTCTGAATGATAAAGGATTTACGCGTTATACAATCATGAGAACTTCTGATATGGCAGCATTCTGCTACTGCATGTATTACTCAGATGATTAGTGATTTAATCATATTGTGCCTGACGAAAGCTTTTGAATTTATTGGTGCATGTACTGAAGATCGTAGTGTCTTATTCTTCCTGTACTGTAACAAATTGTGGAAGAAGCTCTTTTGCATTCTAAGCATTGGATCTTTAAACTCTTCAGGTATCACTCTCTCTGGGGATTAGGATCGCATCCATTCAAGGAACTATGAGGCTCTACATAAAGCCACCACCTTCAGATCAAATATGGTTCGGATTCACATCGATGCCCGATATAGATATCCACTTGGACTCTTCCGTTGGGGAGCATAAGATCTCAAGTGGGCATCTCTCTTTGTTCCTAATCAATCGGTTCAAGGTCAGATTGATAATTTCTGTACTACAATTTGATAATGTGTCTATACATCTCTTCTTTTCATTAAGCCCTTTACATGGACTTAATCAGGATTTAAATTTTTTATCATTGGGGTGATTAAGATTGAAATATGTTTACCTTTAACAGTTCTAACACTTCGCTAGCTTAAATCCATTTTTAGTAGGTCAAGGTTTCTAGAGATTATTGTGACAGACTAACAGCAGTGGGTTAACAGACTGGCGTGGTATCTTCTTGAACAAAAAATTCTAGAATATTGAGTCTTAAATATCAAATAATGGGAAACAGCACTTAGAATTTTAGAAATCATCATTACGAAAAGATATAATATAGAGCGGTTTCCATATAAAATCCCAATTCTTTACAATTACGTCTCAATCCCCAGACAAGTTGGTGCCAAGAGTACCTTTCCTAAAATAATCTAACCACCTATCTGTATAAGTGGATATTTCCTACAAAAAAAGGGCCAAAACTACCCCTGAAGTATTAGAATTGGTATAAAAATACCTTCTATCCACCTATTTGACTAAATTTGCGCTCACCACTATTATTTTGGCTCTTTTCTGCCCTAATAACTAATAGTCCATGCCCTATTAAAAAAATCTGTAGTTATTTAATACGTGGTGTCACCTGATTGGCCTAATTTTGGGTCCCATAGTAAAAGCAATTTTTAAAAAGTGGTCTCTCTCTCTCTACACTCACCATTGCCATCCATCCCCCTCTGGCCCACTTCTCCTCTCTTCCACTTTAGTCTTCTTCCTATAAGAGAACTCGTGCGTGCACAAAAGAAAATAAAGGGAAAAGATGGTATTCACATTGATGGTATTCCTCAAGTGTACAAACTACTAAGTTTTTCTCAACTCAATCAGAAGTTCTATTCCTCATACAGTCCACATAGTGTTAAGAGGAGTAATAAGTCCCTATAAATGATCGTAAATGACCAGAAATGCAACGACCTGTGAGTGTCCCATGCTCCATGTCTTCTTTTCCTTCTTCAAAAGGCTCTGCTAAACATTGTTTTCTAGTACCCGACATCACCCACTCAAGTCTAAACCATCTCAGAATTTCTCATCACAAATAAGACGCTATCCAACAATGTAAAAGGAGGTAATTCACATCTTCCCCTGAGCCTTTACATGAAACAATAACTAATACAATTAATCTTCTTCCTCCAAATTCTCCGACATCAAGATCATCCTCTCGCAGCCAGCCATGCAAAAAAACACATGTTTCTCAATACCCTAGGGATGCATTTCAAAATATGTGTGGAAAAGCTGATTAGAAGTTTTTCATAATAGGACACAACAGAAATGACGCCATTTCCCCCCTCCCCCATCTCTACGCATCACGACTATCCTCTGAAGTTCTTTGTTTGTGAAACAACTCTACCAAATTTTGAAATTCTTCAACCTCCCAGCCTTGCAGGTTCTTGTTTTTAGATCATTTCTTTTTGATAAGCTACTAGTTTATTTGTACTTGTTTCATTCCCAACCACCAATGTCTCTGCTTCCTATGGATTGGTTTTATAACAATACGATGCTTGAATTTGATTCTACTTTAAATTCAACAGAGCAATGTATGCAACGTTTCCAATATATTGTTCTCTTTTTGTCATCCATCGGCTGAGATTTCCTTCAGAGGCTTAAGCTGATTCTTCATAACTAATGCAGGGTGCTATTCGTGAAACACTGGTACTTCCAAACTGTGAAAGTGTATCCATCCCATTCATGTTAGCGGAAAAGGATGACTGGGTCCCCCGACAAGTTGCCCCATTTTTATGGCTGAATCGAGAAGGTGCAGGAAATAATGCCAACAGACAAGAAGCATCCAGCTCCCAACCTGCGGATGCAACACGAGTCACTGAAGTTGATAGGGGAGGTACCAATGGTAATGCTGAAAGCAAAACTGAAATTCCAGGAAAAACAGGATGGAGTACTCAACAAAGCAAGTCATTGGATCCACATGCACTATTATCAGTTCCTACGCATAGTCCAGACACAGGAAGCACCTCTAGCAATGGTGGAAGCAATCAAGGGAAGACTAAAAAAGTTGGATGGTCTGCCCTGCAAAGCAAATCACTGGATCCACATGCGTCCCTATCAGTTCCTATAGCACAACCTAGCACAAATAACCAGCCTTCGGAAGAATTGAGAGCACCGTTGTTGAAGCATGAGGAACAGCAAGAGGTTCATCTCAGAAGCACCGAGGAGAACATAGAAGGCAAGTCACCTTCTCGACAACTGTTACTACTTGATGAAAAAAATCAAATTACTGGAGAAGATGATTCAAAGTCTACAAGATTAGGGAGAAGGGCTAGGATGCTTGGTTTGGGGAAGAAAATGGGGGAGAAACTGGAAGAGAGGGCACGTCACATAGAAGAGAAGGGGAGAAATTTAGTTGAGAGAATGAGGGGACAACAGTGAAATAAAGGAACATTGTAAATTTTATAGTATCACCAATTCATTTATTTGCACAAGGCAAGTCCCCAGTGTATCTTGTTACTGGTTGATGGCGTTTCTTTTGTGCTTCACTGTCTTCGCTAACAAAATTCTCCAATGGTTCACATGTTTCAGTCTCACAGGTGCAGTAAAACTGACAATCTTATGAGGAAAAAAAAATCAAATTTAAAGCTCTATGCTTAGCTTCCGTGGTCTGGTGGTTCATCTTTAGAGCTGCAAGTTAAAAATAGCTTACGTCGATTGTATAAACTGAAGTGATTATTCTTGTCATTTTACCATGTTATGCTGTTGAATTGAGAGATGTTCTCATTCGAGAACACTTGATGAGACCAGAGGTCCCTGGTAGGAACGTAAATGGAAGATAAATATTTACTTTTGCATAACACAATCAACAACCATCGGAACACAACAATCAAACAACTATACACAAACTTCTTGTTCTGGCGTAGTCATGGTAAATTAAAGAAGAGCGTATAGAGAACACTAGGAACCCTGATATTAAAAATTGCCGGAGTGATATACTCTTTAAGCCTTAGAAAGCTTGATCCATTTAGAGAGATGGATATGCAAACCTGACAATTCAGTACAATTCTTTAGTGCAAGAATCAGTGATGCTCTTACTTAATGCTTAGATGAAAAATTGGACATATTTTCATGTTATCAAACAGCATTAACCACTAAGAACCATCAGTAGAAATTTCAATAAACTGAATCTAAAGTTTCTAACATACATGAGAAACTAACATGCGACTACTTAAAAGAAACACTGCTCTTACTTATGATTGATTAAAGTAAACCCTCCAAACAAGAACATGGTAATACAATTATGGAATGAAGGCAGAAACATGAAGGAGGAAATAGATACGACAACAACAAAAATTCGCTTTTCCACTCTTTCAAAACAAAAGCACTTCCAGATTCTCCAAAGAAACACTGCTCTAGCAATGATTAAATAATTCAGTACATCCACGAAGTCAAAATCCTTTTTAACTGTGCCATTAAAAAACCATCTATTGTAGAACTCGGAATATCTAATCTTTATCCAAAAAAGGATGAAGAGCTTAAAGGAAAAAGGCTCATTCCCAGCCTGTAGCACCAGAAGTGGGGGGGACATCTGGTACTGGTAGAGGAACTGGTGCAGGGGGAGCTGCTGCGTCCCATCCGCCATCAGCTGCTGAAATTCCTCCCGGAAACAAAAAGGCAAGGTTATTAGTGCCGACAAATTTAGGAATAAGAAATAACTTAAAATCACCAAATGCTTACTCACAGAAGAGGCTCACAATTATAGCACGGGGAAAAAAAAAAGAGAAGCAAAAGACTATCAGCTAAAATGATCTCAAGAGCAATGAAGTTTCAGTTGGGGTTGAAAGTTTTTAGCAGACAATACCAGGAACCAATTTCACAAAATAACAAACTAACCTCCGTCTCCAGCCCAACCACCACCTACTGGAGGTGCTGCAGCATCTGCAGTCCATTGCGCCTCAGGGATTTGGCTACTAGTCCAGTCACCACCAAGGGCAGCACTAGCAGAGTAGTCTGCATAATCTGCAATAGCTGGCGCTTCCTCTTCTTGCTCCTTTGCCTCTTCAGGCTCTCTGTAAAAGAAGAGATCAACCTGCAAAAATAGAAATAAACAGATGCAAATGAAAAACCTATATTCAGTGACTACAAAAGAAGGCATTAAATCATCTATTAAATTTCAGAAGAGCACACAACCACCAGCAGCAGAATGTAACAATGGAGTTGGAGCTATACAAAATAAAATGAATAAAGATGGTCTTTACCATAACATCCCATTTAGGTCCTTGATTAATGGCCCCACGCATCTGGAGTACCATCCTTGCTAAGATCCAGAAAAGAACACCAATGCTGTGTTTTCCTTTGTTATTGGCAGGGATACCAATGTCGACATAGCGCATTGGAGAATCAGTGTCACAGAAAGCAATAGTTGGGATGTTCCCAAGTGCAGCTTCCTTGATTGGCTGCAAAGTATTCAAACAGGTTAGTTATCATTGGCAAGTTTAAAAAGAGAATATTAGTAGCAGGATAGTAAGTAAAACCTGATGGTCAGTTCTTGGATCAGTGAGAATCAAGAGTCGCGGCTCACTGTATGAGGTCTGAAGCTGATTGGTAAATGTTCCAGGGGTATGACGTCCAGCAATAGCATGTGCACCAGTATATTGGGCGAATTTCAAGACAGCTCTCTGTCCATATGGCCTGGCAGATTGAACAATGATGTCCTGAGGATTCTCAATAGCAACAATCACCCTGGCAGCCATTTGAAGCTTTTCCCATGTCTTTCCAAGGTTGATGATGTAGATACCTACGAATATAAATACTTAGGGTCAAATAAACAGAGAAACCAAAAACCACTAATGAAGATTTTGTTATGACACCATGAATTTGAAGTTGTATCTATAGTTGGCCCACATAGAGTAGTAGTAAAATGCACATCTAAGATAAATTTAATGGAAGTAAACAAAAAAGAGAGAGAATGACATGTTGCAGATAAAGAATTCCAACATGAGATAAAACGCTTAATGACTATGAATGCATATTATATATATGAAGTCAAACAATGGAAAGATAATCTAGAGGAGAAACCAGCAATTACAAACAATGCAATCTAATCACAATTTGACCAATACAGACACTCAACCTTAGAAAATTGAGAATACTTCAAAATACTTAATTGCATTCAATGCATATTGTAAAGGTATTAGCTTGACTTGCCACAAGGTTGGTCAATTCCAATCTATCCACATGACTGGTGAATTAATTAATGTACTTTAGAATAGTTGCAGTACATAAACTGTAAGAGTCATTACTGTTGTTTGCTTTATCAAACTTCTTGTTAAGTGCCAATATCTAATTGATATGAATCTAATAGTTTGATAAAGTGCACCTAGAAGACAGCTACTCATGAATCGGCTTAATCATAAAAATGTGCAAATCCTAACATGTAAAGAGAGCTGAATACGATTATCACAAAGAAGTCGTGGCGCCTCCAGCGACTAAAAATTCTAAACCTTTCCAACTGTTACTTACATTTTTTTCTAAAACAAGTTCATGGATAACCAAATCGATACACCTAATGCCAACTTTACAATAGGCATCTACAAACTATTATGCATAAACCCGTGCTACTTACAGCTAATAGACATAAGATATACTTTTAACATAACGAAAGACACATAGAATCAAGGAAATGAGATAGATAATCAAGTTAAAGACTTTCATACCATCGTTACGGCGCTTGAAAGCGTATCGCTCCATTTGGAAGTCACAATTCTTAGTACCGAGGTGAACTTCAGCAGCCAACATCATCTGAATATCAGCTTCTTTAGTCGAAAGAGTCCTTACATCTTGTGTCGCCATGGTTGTTCTCTGTTTCTTCCCTTTCCGCTGCTAGGGTTTTTTCGGCTTGCGGCAGATCGAGATTCTCTCCTCACGAACGTATCTATAAAACCCTTTCTGGTACAGAGAAACTTAAATATAAAACCTTGCTTGTATTGGGCTGGGCTGGGCTTAGGATGTTGGGCTTTATAGGCTGGGCTGATTAAGTTTCTCTTTTTGAAATCGTAAAACATTGATAGTGTAGCCACTTTTTGAACTGGTATTTAAAAGTTAACCGTTGTTTTGATAGGAAACTAACTACGCCGCGAGATCGACCTTTAAGATTAAAAGTAAAAAACTATTGAATCGAGAGTTTTGTTCATGACACAAGTAGGGTGGAAGTTTTCATGATCAACAAATTCGAGGAGATTTTTGTAAATTATTCATTGTTTGATACATAATCAAGAACTTGTTGTTTTTTTAATGCTGAATAAAATTTAGATAAAAATATTCTTAATTAAAATACGAAAAAAATCAACTACCATACGTTGAAGTTCAATTTTTTTACAAATGGAACTCTGATATATTATACTAAAGTTTTAAAACTTCATTTATATGAAATATGTGTGTTTGAGTTTTAACTAACTCTATCTCTTTGCTTGAGTTTTCAATTGTACTCTTTAATTAGTACTGTTGTAGAATCAAACTTACTAATTAAGTTAGATTTTTAAAGTGTATGATCATCTTAATTAAAAATTGCATTATTAAAAAACACTTTTTATTATTATTTAAAGTAATTATATTCTTAATATGTTTTTTACATGCAAATTTAAATATTTTTTATAAGTCAAATATGTACAACAAAATTTAACTTTCCTCCAAACTATTGTAACCAAATATGGTGGAGTGTGCAAAGTAATAAGATTCTAGTTACAGTGTGTTAAATTGAGACGGAGGGATTAGGTAAATAACAATTGAGTTATTTGTCACTTTCATTATAAAAAAAGAAATAACTTAAAACATAGCTCTATTTATCAAAATGTACAAATAATTATTGTAATTAATATTGAAAAAGCAATACCATAAATACAACCTACAAAGTAAAATTGCATAACACACTGCAGTAGGGATTTAAGAGTGATTAATAAAAATGTCATTTGATTTTTTTGTCATGGAATACGATTTATCTGAGAGAGAGGACAACACAAGGCAAAATGGAAATCTATACTATAAGCTCTTAATCAATATTCTTAGAGTTAGGCTTTTTGCAATGTAGTAATAAATTAGTTTCTTGCTTTGTATTCTGTATGATTAGAAAGATGGATGGATAGTATGAGAAGGAGTTGGTCCTAAAACTATGTTGATTTGTAATGATCCCTTTTGGTTATGAATGAAAATCTCTGTTAATCAGGAAAAAAATAGTAAATTAAATAGTTATATTTATATTATCTGAAATATAAAGTTTTTGACTTAGAGTTCAATTTCATAGTTTTATTTCTAATCATCTCAAACTCTCGATTATTCTATAATATAATAATATTTGCTTTCAAACAAGATTCAATCCGTCAACTTGGGTAAATGATTAATTTGATTTGTCACTATGTTTCTAAGTGATTTTCAATGATTCTTTTAGGTGTCAAATCTTAACGATTTAATCAATAACTAAACCGACTTTGATCAATAATCGATAAAGGAAAATTCTTAATAATTGTATAACAATTTAACATATCTACTATCTACAAACCTATAACCAATAAACTCCAAAATCAAACCAAACCGGACAACATAGCTTTGTTTTTGTTAGTTAAAAGCTTACACATTCACCCAAGCTTAAATTAAACAAGTCGAAAATACATCAAAAGAAGAGTCCAGGGACTCTAAAAAGGCAACAAAAAGAACCAAACATACAAAAACTTCCCAAACAAAACAAGTCCTCATAATAGAGCCCACAAATGTGGTTTTCAACACAAACTTCGCAATAGGTATATGATTCATTTGGTTTGTCTAATTTTCAATAATTCTTTTGGGTGTCAAATCTTAACCGCTTTAAGATAACTTAACCGATAACAATCAATAACCGATAAGCAAAATTCTTAATAATTCTATAAGAATTTAACACATCTAATATCTACAAACCAATAACCAATAAACGACTGATACAGAGCCAACATAGCCTTGTTTTTGTTATTTAAAAGCTTACACATGTAACCAACTTAAATTAAACAAGTCGCAAATACATCAAAGAAGGGGCCAGGGACTCTAAGAAAGCAAACAAAAAGACCCAAACATACAAACTTCACAAACAAAACAAGTACTCATAATATTGCACACAAATGTGCTTTTTAAACATATTTAGTAATCTTCTGGAGCCAAAGGCTGATGATGAGTATGAACTGGAGCTTCATCATGAGCCTGTATGAGTCCAAACTCATAAATAATTCCAGCTATGGCTGCACCAATAAATGGGCCTAACCAATAGATCCAATGGTTCCTCCACCTCCAGCCCACTAAAGCAGGCCCAAAAGCCCTTGCTGGGTTCATGGATGCTCCTTCAAAAGGCCCACCAACAAGGACATTAGCTCCAACAATGAAAGCAATGGCAAGAGGTGCTATAATCCCCAAACTACCCCTCTTTGGATCAATGGCTGTTGCATAAACAGTGTAGACCAACCCAAATGTCATCACTATTTCCATTACAAGTGCATTTCCATTGCCAACTCCTGGTGCTACCGCAAATCCCACAGGCCTCTGTATCCATAAGAAAATTGTTGTTCGTTGTAGTAAATAATTGAACTTGGAAAAAAAAAAACGAAATAATTGTATAAAGTGAGGTATAACTGAAAAAAAATTCGAGTATTAGGATTGAAGTATTCCCCCTTTCAATTTATGTGAACTTACCACGCCATCAGTAGCAAGCCTCAACAAGGCAGAGGCTACAACAGCACCTAGCAACTGACCAATCCAATAGTAGACAGCACGAAGGACGCTAACTCGGCCACCCACGAGAGCACCAAAGGTGACAGCCGGGTTAATATGACCGCCAGAGACGTTCATACTGGATGCTACCGCAGCAAAGAGCGAAAATGCATGCGCCAGTGCGATCGCCGTCAATCTCGACGCTCCTAAAGCTCTATCAGGGTACAACTTATCTGCACATACATTTCACATGAATGATTAATTAATAACACTCTTCCTTTTTTTTAATACAGAATGTTTTGTGTATCGAACTGTCATATAAAATGATGAAAATTTCGAAACATAGAAGTTAGGACTTGGGAATTACCAAGAGCAAGAACAGAGCCTTCTCCAGCAAAGACGAAAATGAAGGTAGAGAGGAACTCAGACAAGGTGGCACGCATAGAATCAGGGTGTGTAGCTTCATCCGCCCTGCCAAACTCATATCTCCGTGGCTGCATAATTGTATGTTTTTTTCCTTTTTTCCTAAAACCCACCGCTTAAAGATAAAGGTGAAGAAAAACGAGGCTATTAGAGAACGATATGATCGAGGGGTGTTTATATATAGAATATGGGTTCCAGTAAGATACTAGTAATAAATTGGACACCTGGGAAAAACACTGCATGAATAGTGACACGTATACTACATGCATTACGTTGTCTCTTTCGATCCAATCAACAACCTCTTTATCTGACTTCACCTGTGAAAACCCAAACGTAACTAAACTAAACGACAATACTCTACTACAAAACCATCCTATTATATATCTTTAGCATAATATAAGTTGGTCTCAATTGATATTTATATCAAAGTTTGAGTATGTATCATATGTGACATAATAAGGAGTAATATGAGATATACTCAAACTGATTAATATATGCACATCTGTATATAGCTATTTATTTAATTTTATATGAGTTAAATGACCACTTATATACATCTAAAATTTAAAAATATAAATGGTATATAAGATTAAATTACAAGACATGTGTATATATTATGCCTTCGTCCTTCCGGGTTAAGTCTTCATTCACATTAGTATAACAATACTCTATAAAAGTTCCTTTTTATGATGATGGTTTGAATCTTCGATTGTATCATTAGATACATGTTACAGTATCATATGATTTCCTATTAGCACAAAGTATTAAAATCGAAGAAACGTACACTACAAATAATGTTGATAACATAATATAAAACTGTACAAAGAATTGACTGTACTTCATTAGTCACAAATCAACGTTTTTAGATCAAACGATCCTTCAAATTAATTGATCATGTAACTCTCATTCTGGGTAATTTCCAGAGTTCAATTTGTAAGCTGATGATCAATGGAATTGAACCTAAAAATCTGTTGCGTGAAAATAAACATATGTGAATGAGACCTGTGAGGTGGGTAATAGTGAGAATCAAATTTTGTGTAAAACAATAATAACTCACATCTCAACTATGTAAAATTACAACATACAGTTTGTGGATATTCACTCGTCAGCTAATTCAGGGTAAGAAGATTTAGGCCTCAGCACGCAGGCATGCTCAATGGATCCTTGATCAAAATGGCCACATAACTAGTGCTAAGGATATTTGAGTGATTAAAACACTATGATCTAATTAGAATCATTCGTCAATATCCATACAAAATCAATCTTCATCATCTGAACTCTCATATGCTGCTACCAAGCTTTTTATCGGATTATCTACCTTTGTTTCATTTCCAGTGTCATTTGGTTTAGCTGGCAAGATATCTTTCTGCTTCTCCTGATTGGAATCAGAGTTGCTACTAGGAATAGCCTGTGTACTTGAGATGGAATTACTCCCATCAGACCCTCTAGAAACTTTCTGCTTCTTAGGCTTGACTTCTAAAACCCTTTTTAGTACATCTTGCTGCCTGTATTGTAGACCAGTACATATCTTAGTTTGACTCCTTGAATATTTGAACACAAAAAATTACCAAGATGTTAAGATAACTCACCTTCTGATTACTGGGGCACAGAAACTAGAAGAAAAAAAGACTAGGGAGAAGACATGGAAGAAAAAGTGTGTAAAGTAAGAATGTAAATCATTTGTACCTGATCCCACTTTTTGGCTTGGGCTCAACACGAAGTGGCAGGGGAATAGATGCAGGTGAAGAATCAGCAACAGCTTTGTTTAAACTAGTTAAGCAATACATAGAAGAAGTAAATGGTTATACAACTTGATAACTCTACATATGTGTCATTTTTGGGGGGATAAGTTATATGTGTCCCAACTTTCGCAAGCCACAACACATCCTCTCGGCTGGCAAAGCTAAAATCCGACGGGGTAAATCATCAAATCAACCTATTTAATAACTCTATGTGTAAATGAAATTCAATTGACATCAATTAGCACCTGTCGTCACCATTCAATATTATTATGCAGAGGTAACATCAAAGAAGGAACAAACAAAAAGGATATCTTGAATGCTTGAAATGCACGTTTTTCCGTACGTCGCAGAAGGCGTTCAGCATCTTCCTCGGCTTCCATCTGCTCCTTGAGGTAAAGCAAGTCATCGCTATCCAGGGCTGCAATGTATAACTTAAACAAGATTCAAGAAACTATTCCACATTTCTATTATATGGACAGACTAATGTACCAAAAAGAAAAAAGGAGGTAGCAATTATTGTGAGCAAGAATCTATACCGCCTCTTCCATGAAGGTAACCTCCACGTTCCCCAGCAACCTCTTGCATCTGAACATGTCAAGCACCCAGTAGGAAAAGCCAGGATCCCTGTCAGGGCATGTTATCAGAAATTGGGGCATGTTACGATGAATATTTTATAACATGATCTAACCCTGAAATGACTTTAGATTACATGTATATCTGACATATCTGAATTTACAATGATTCAAGACCATCAAAAATTTTCCAGTAGTAGTTAGTAGTGCTATACTTGTCCTCGAAGACTTTCTATATCCAAACATACTGCAAAACCTCTTATCTAAATGCTAATAGGTGGACAGAATGTTTCCCTTATTTCAGTCCATAGCTCTTTTAAGTGTTTTACCTTTTGGAATAATCAAGCATTCCCCTTGCTAAGAAAATAAATAAAATCTAGTTGCTTATAGGCTTAACAAAACAACTATGTAGCTTGACGTTCAGTAGCAAAAAGAGGAAGGATAGTGGAGTAAATACAAAGAGCAGTAAATACAAAATGGACTGGTTGTGCAGATCCAGTCAGTTTCTCAATCCTTCCAGATTTCGAAAATGGGAACTTCTTCTTTTCTTTTTTCCTTTTGATAGCTAGGATAAGAGGAGAAATATTATTATATGAACTCACCAAAGTTGTTGGATTTACTGCAAAAGGTGGAGGTGAGGCGGATGGGAGATGGAGGAGGAGGCGGAAGATGGTAACAGAGGAGGTAGAGGAGGAGCTGGTGGTGGAGGGAGATGAGGGTAATAGGGGTAAGGTAGAGGCTTTGTGTAAGTAAGAAAACTTGGAGGCTATTAAAATTAGTATCATTAACACTTATCTCAAAAAGAGTTACTCCTAACCAATATAAAAACCTGAGTCACCTTTTCTCAAATAAAAGACACTAACTTCACGTCATCCAACATAGAACGTGGTGATTATTCAAACATGCTCCTACTTTTAAAACAGCGCTATCATAAACTGTGGTATCTTCACTAGCGTTCTTCATTCAACAACTAACATCTTCCCTAGTTATCAAATATTTCACTATGCCGATGAAAAGTCATATACAGCAAATGGCCAAGTTTATGAAAAACTAAACAGCATATGCTATGAAGAAAACTGAAACATATGCTGTGCTCAAGTTATAAACTGCGGAGTTAAAATAATAAAATAAGTAAACACGTCTCCTCCCTAACAACTTAAATTTCTAAATTAAGTGCAGTTCAATAAGATTAATAGCTAAAGCTGTTAAACGAGTCGGTTCACACGATTCAACATCAACTTTCCAGAGCTGTAATGGACTCAATTTTGCTAAAAGCAGATGAAATTCAAATCACAAACCAAACTCACTCACTTCTAATAAAATTAACAACCATATAAAGTTGGAGAAACGGAATTCGCTAACCTTGGAAACCATGCGTTGGAAAGTGACCTCCTCGTCATCTATCTTATCCTTCCCTTTACCGAATTTCTTATCTACCAAAAATTTGTTTGCATTTACAGGTTAAACCTAAAAAAGCAATGAATAGCAAAAAACTAGCTAGCAGTTACATATGTGTATGCGAAAATACCTTTAGGATCGGTGAGATTGGTGTATTCTCGAACTTCTCTTCCTGCCATGGCTTCAATTTAGGGTGTATTGGAAATTGGAGAGATTATTAGCTGAAGATTGTGTGCTTCGATTTAGGGCTTTTTTTCGCATTCGGGTCTTTTTCTTCTTTCCTTCCCTGTGAATTTATCCTCTTTCTCGATGCGGCTCAATAGCCAGGTTGACAAACTTTATAGTATGTCTCGCACCACCGATGTTAATTGTATGAGACCTCTTAAATTTTGACAAATTGAAAGTGGGCTCCAAAATTTACTTTCGATATATTTTTACATTATGGGTGTATTTGTTATCGAGGAAAATATGTTTTTGCGTATTTTGTAGTGTTTAGTGTTTGATAAGTAATAAAAATAATAGTATCTTAAATGTATTTACATATAATATAATAAAAATTACGACTGAGGAATAAGGTATGAGGTTTGAAGATGACAGAGGGTAGACAAAATGGTCAAGCAATGAACTAACAACAATAAAATAGTGCATCAATTAAAACACAATAAACAAATGATAGATGTCGAAAGCAAGAAACTACAAGAATAAAGTTAATATTATGACATACACCGCAAAGCCTAAATCTATCGAAAAATAAAACAATGTTTCGCTACCTACTAACCTTCTACATTAATTTGCAATCTTTACACCCTTGTATCTAATGTTGTATCTTCAATAAACCGAAGTTGCATTATGTCATATCTAATCATATTTCCGTATAATTTTTTTGGTCTCCTCGTATTCACATTAGACAACCTCTCAAAACTCCTCACTAAGACACTTTTATATCTCCTCTTCATCAATATCGCATCAATATGATGTGTGACATCATAGTTGAAAGTTTATCACGGTGGTTGATAATAACAATTAATGATGTCTAATACTTGTAAAGAATAATTAAATAGTTAATAGTGGTGATTACTTATTGCTATATTTTGTTGTTGTTATAGTGATAATAGTCAATAAAGATGTTTATAAATGGTGGCTAGTAACAATGGTTAGTGATGATGATGATGGAAATAAATAAATAAATGCGGTTAAAGATAGTTATTGATACTTATAAGTTATAATTGCTAAGAAAATTACTACTAAGTTACCATAATTATTACTTAGAAGTATATTTTTCAAAAAAATATTGTTAGAGATAAATTCGAGATTTAAATTTAGCAGTATAATGAAATGAGTATATTTTTTTTATTGCCACTAAAGGTTGCGGTGAGATGACAACCATCCCTCCTTAATTAAATTTCTAAATTCAAAATTTGAAAATTAAGTGCATTTGATTGGGAAGCAGGTCCGAAGCCAACTTTAACACTATAAATTTAATATATTTCAAAAATACTGATCAACTATATTTATACTAATTTCTTTTTATATAATATATAAATTATCTTTACTCCAACTTTAACAACATATATTTCGAAATTAATAAATAAATAAAATTATGATTTGAAATGTAGAAATTAAATATAAGAAGTCTTGACACCAACTTTAATAACAATACTTTACCTTAAAATGAAGCTTTTCAAATGCATATCTCTACATTAATCGTTTACCCCAAAGAGGAAAATAATAGTCTCTTTATATTTTGGCCACAAATAAAACCAACTAATCGCAGTCGTGGGGTTGCCAAAAATGTGGGCTAGGGATGAAAGGGTAAAATAGTCCAATCAATTTCTGGCCAAAATACCACTGTACGTAAAGTCTCACTTCGCCAGGGTTTCAAAATTCACTCCATCCGAAGGGATCGGAAACTCTGTTTTCTCCGATTGGGGTTTTGGGCAGTATCCGATCGAGCAACTTTCCGGCATCAATTCATCGGAAACGGCAGCTGAATCAATCGGCTCTTCTACATTACGCTTCAGATAAATCCGTACATTTCTATACAACTGGTAGGTTTAATTGCAACGAAGAAGGAACACTAGATTTAGAAGAAGGGCGATGGATTTGGACCAGTGGATAACGAAGGTTAAAGAGGGACAGCATCTGGCGGAGGACGAGCTTCAGCTCCTCTGTGAATACGTATGTTTAATACTTTTATCCTTTTTTTTTTTTCTTAAAAAGCACATCTACAAGTATTTCCAGTTTTGTAACGAAATTTGCCGGAATAGAGAAGAAATAGATGTAGAAGATTCCTATAGCTGAGCTTAAATAGGTAAGGTTTGAAAGGTTGATTGATTGATTTGTTGACACATGTCTAACAAGCTGTTTACTAAAACAAAATAATCATAAATTCTAGTAATAGTAAAGGTTATTTGATTTTTCCATTTGGCTCATTACTTTGGGAAAGCTGTTTTTTTTTTGGGGAGGAGGGGGGGGGGTTAGCTTGTAGATATTGTTGATTTTGTTTTTTCGTTTATAGGCTTCTGTGAAAGGGAGAAATGTCAATGGGGAGTATTTATGCAGAGGTGTCTTACATTCAGCAGATTAGTCTCATTTTCACTTGAGGAAGTTAATGATTTTCTTATGTGTACTGCAAGTATTTTTTTGAAGCTTGATTTAGAGAGTGTTTTTTGTGATCCGGAAAATTTCTCTTAAAAAATCTAACCATAATAACATCTACCGTCTGCTCTTGTTTTTCTCATATCTCCATCTAGTGAACTTATTTTATAGGGATCGGATTTGCATGTTAACAAGATGTGTTCCCCATTAATTTCAAAAGAACAAAGCTCATTTAACCTCATAGGAATCGGTAGGTTTACCCAGTAAAAACTTCATGTTGGTTTGTCAATTGCCCTTTCCTTTTCATACTTCATGGCATTTGATCAAATTTCAAGGTTGATAAACATGATGGTGGGTGGGTGGGGCAGTAATAGCGGTATCCAGAAGGAAAAAGTTTCACAGGCACTAATTGGAAGTACAAAATAAGTGAGGAATAGGCTATAAAGCATAATTAGTTTGTAACATGAACCCATTGTGACCTACATAGTATTGGTGTAGTACTGACCTTCCTTTCAAGTAGTTGCTTCTAACAAAGATTATTGCAACCTGAAATCTTTGATTATTGAAGCTATTAGTAAAGACTCAAGCCTTTATTCATGCTTCCATGTCATCCATTAGCCTACAAATTTAGATAATGTGACAATTTTTGGTCATGCTTAACACATACAATTCGACTATATGACTATTGGGTTTATTCCCTGGCCTTGCCAAGTCAAAGCCTGTTGTGAAGGTTTACAGATCAATAGAATGCTTTTGAGATGGGAGGAAATGGAAATATAGGGGAGTCATTTGCTTATATTTGTTGGGTGGATGTATATTAGAGTTCCCGAGTTATAGTTTTTGTCTTATTTATTTTGATTAGGTGGTTATATTTGTGAGGTAAGTTCCTTCTCATATAATTCCATGATTGTTTCATGTATCATTTGACTTCCTGTGGTACTAATCAATCCAGCATAACAAGAGCTTGTCTTCTTTTGACATGCATGATTGAGAGTTGAGAATAAAAAGAATGACTACCTGAAGTATGACGCATTACGCAAATAAGTGGAGGTCTAAATTGCTTCTTCTATAGACATCATTCAGAGAAAAGTGTTTGATTGCATGTGGCACATGATACTGATAGTGCATTAGTTTGGTATCTTCTTCCTGCACACCAATCACATTAACAATAGTTATTGGGGTTATGGGTTGTAGTAGGCAGATAGTTCTTTTTGCATTTGTTCAATAATGTTTACAGCCTTGCACTTCAGCATCACATCTAATTTCACTTGGGAGCATGCATTGTATTTCATTTGTGTCTAAAACATGTGACACTTTTTCACAGGTTAAGGAGATCCTAATTGAGGAGTCAAATGTGCAACCTGTTAATAGTCCAGTTACTGTTTGTGGGGATATACACGGCCAATTTCATGATCTAATGAAACTTTTCCACACTGGTGGTCATGTGCCAGAGACAAATTACATCTTTATGGTAAAATTCATATAGTTTATTCCTAGTCCATAGATGGACGTTTACGGATTATCTTGTGAAAAAATTTATTCCAGGATTCTAGTTCACCCATCTCTCATAATTGGGCAGGGAGATTTTGTTGATCGTGGATACAATAGTCTCGAAGTTTTCACAATTTTATTGCTCCTTAAAGCAAGGTATGGTAAGAAATATTTATATAGAATTTGTATCACCTGTCTACTTTTAGAAAATGGTATTACTGCTTATTCCTTACTGTCTCAGGAGGAATCATTAGGTTGATAAAATTGTTAATTGCGCTGCGAACTTTGTGATATGGACACGTATATTTTGACAAACGTTGTATTATCTTTTCAATAAAATCACCGTAGGTAATGTTTTCTTTTTGAAATCAATTTGATGCTCATGGAAAGCATTGAGCTTTTATAATATTCATTTTTTTGCCTATATGTTATGATGGTTCCCCTTCTCTTGTTCTGTCTTCCACTTTACCCAATATTTTCATCTTCAACGATTGACTCATATTATCTTCTTTGCCTCAGTTGAGCAAATGTGAATTTTGTATGGCACTGGCAGCTGTTGATTTTCCTGCTAGTCTATTGAAAGGTGATAGGGCATTGGTTCTTATTTATCTACCTTTTGTTTTTAATTTGCTACCAGATATCCTGCCAACATTACACTTTTACGCGGGAATCATGAGAGCAGGCAGCTAACTCAGGTATTAGATGTTATACTTAAATTCATAGATAATAGCTATTTAAGAAGTGTGTGTTTGATGCAAGTACCATAGATGCGCTTGTGATTCTTTATTTAACAATTTTTTTGAACCCCCCCCCCCCCCCAAATAAAAAAATACTTGTTCTTTTTTCTTCTTAAAGAAGCAATTGGTCTGTTGCTGTCATTGGACTGTTTGACTAAATGTGCAGACAGCAGATCTAAAGTTGGCAGTTATGGCTCCCAATGCCTTTGGGAGTTTGACTTATTATTGGGAAAAAACAACATTCTTCTGTTTTAAAGTACAATTTTATACCTAATTTGCATTTCTGGCTTAAGTGCGTTTTGCTAGAGTGTCCAGCTCAACTTTTGGAATTCTTGGACTCTCTAATGATGTAATACAGAAAGTAGACTGCTCCCCGACTTTCGTAATCTATGTAAGTACCAGCTTGGTACCATTATATCAATAATCTACCTTACCTTATCCAAAAAAAAGAAAGAAGTCCCCCAAGGCCGTTG